CTCTTTCTTGACCCTTTTTATTCTACTGATCATCTCTAACCATTACTTGTGCAGGATGACTTGGGACGCAGTTCCTCTGTCACAGGCTTTCCTTCTCGTCCAGCCAGTCGTAATGCATTTGATGAAAATGTTGAGATTACATCGTCTGCTGAAGCAGAGCTGGCTCATTTGCGCCACGGTTCCTCAGCCACCGATGGTGTAAGATCTGGATCAAATGTTCAAGGATCACCTGTATCCCAAAATGTTGGCACTCAAGCTTCATATTCTTATGCTGCTGCACTTGGTGGCTCTTCCCTGTCACGAAGCACTACTCCTGATCCACAACACATTGCTAGGGCACCCAGTCCTTGCCCCACTCCTATTGGTAGCGGGAGAGTTGCTGCTGCTGAGAAGAGAGGTATTACCAGTCCTGAAGCATTTAATGATGTTTCATCAGGCGTAAAAAATGGGTCTGCAGATATTGTCTCAGCATTGTCTGGCATGAAATTGTCAGCAGATGATGTGTTGGATGGTGATAACCATTTCCCATCACAGGTTGAGTCTGAAGTTAATAATTATGAAAGATATCTATTTGGTATGCAAGGTGGTCAGGATCATGGCAAGCAACAATCATATTTAAAGAAATCTGAATCGGGACACTTACAGAAAACAGCTCACTCTGATTCATTTAAGAGAAGTGGAAGCAGGTCAGACATGAAAAGTCCATCATTGGATAGGCAGGTCGAGCATCAAATGTCTGCTGTTTCTCCTAATAACTCATATTTCAATGGATCACCTAGTTCTCCTTATAGTGGTGGAGGTGGCTTGCCTGCACAGTACCAGACTTCAGACGGCTCCAATTCATCATTTAATAACTATGGCCTGAGTGGGTATGGTGGAAATCCAGCTTTGGCGTCCTTCATGGCTAACCAACTTGGAACTGGGAACTTGCCACCCCTGTTTGAGAATGTTGCTGCAGCATCAGCAATGGCATCTCCTGGGATGGACTCAAGAATCCTTGGAGGTGGTTTTCCCTCTGGAGGTTCGTCTCCATCTGATGTGCATGTTCTCAGTAGAATGGGAAATCAAACTGCAGGCAGTGCTCTTCAGGCTTCTTATGTTGATCCAATGTATCTTCAGTACATGAGGACACCTGAGTATGCTGCTGCACAACTTGGTGCTCTTAGTGACCCATCTGCAGACAGGAATTACTTGGGAAACTCGTACATGAATTTACTTGAGCTTCAGAAAGCTTATCTTGGATCTCTGCTTTCACCCCAGAAGTCACAATACAATGTTCCACTTGGTGGTAAATCCGGCGGTTCCAACCATCATGGTTATTATGGAAATCCTGCTTATGGTGTTAGTTTGTCTTATCCGGGAAGTCCAATGGCAAACTCTTTATCCAATTCTCCAGTTGGGTCTGGTAGTCCTATTAGGCATAATGACCTGAATATGCATTTTGCTTCTGGAATGAGGAATGTAGCCGGGGTTATGGCACCATGGCACCTAGATGCTGGAAATGTGGATGAAAACTTCGCTTCATCTCTGTTGGAAGAGTTTAAAAGCAATAAAACAAAGTGTTTTGAGCTTTCTGAAATATCTGGCCATGTTGTTGAATTCAGGTATACCTTTTTAGCCTGGCTGGTGTTCTGTTGGTTAATTATTTGTAATATTTGCCAACATTCTTGGAGAAAATATAATTAATTGAATTTGCTCTTATTGGCAGTGCTGATCAATATGGGAGCCGTTTTATTCAACAAAAGCTTGAAACAGCAACTACTGAAGAAAAGAATATGGTCTATCAGGAAATCACTCCACATGCTCTTGCTTTGATGACTGATGTTTTCGGTAATTATGTGGTTCAGAAGGTAATTATAATTTATTACTTTTTATCTATGTTGACCATGCATAAATATGGCTCTTGGTAGAGTGACAACTTTGCATCTGACAGTTTTTTGAGCACGGGCTTGCATCCCAGAGAAGAGAGTTAGCCAACAAGCTTTATGGCCATGTTCTGACGCTTAGCCTTCAAATGTATGGTTGTCGAGTCATCCAGAAGGTATTGACAATTAAGTGCAGTAGTTGACATTTCTAGTGGCTTTATGTCCATAATTTTCTGAATGTGGCATCTTTTTTTAATTTGTATATATAATTAGGCCATAGAAGTTGTTGATCTGGACCAGAAGATTAAAATGGTTCAAGAGCTTGATGGTAATATTATGCGCTGTGTGAGAGATCAGAATGGCAACCATGTCATTCAGAAGTGTATTGAATGTGTACCTGAAGATGCAATTGATTTTATTGTCTCAACTTTTTTTGATCAAGTTGTGACATTATCAACCCATCCATATGGTTGCCGGGTGATACAGGTAAGATGTATTCAGTGTTTTTGTTTCTCTTTTATTGTACAGGTTAAAGTCCTCGAAAGATGTAATACCAATTATTTCACATGGCAGAGAGTACTGGAGCACTGTGAAGACCCTAGCACACAGCAAAAAGTTATGGATGAGATTTTAGGAGCAGTTAGCATGTTAGCCCAGGATCAATATGGCAACTATGTTGTCCAGGTTTTTAATTCATTATTACAACTACTTATATTTGGGCTATTTATTGTCACACTTATTGGTTCGAAATTGGTTCACCCTAACAATCATGTTTTTTGTATGGTTTACTTGATTATGGTGTTTTGCTTTTTAATTCGTTGCAGTTATCTAGCTTTTCTTCACTTTGGGCCAAGTAAAATCCCAGCTGGGCAACTCGAGTTTGACCATATGCTTGTCTCCTTTTTCTATGATATATACACCATCACATACAATACTCTTATGTCAACTATATTAAATGACTAGTTTTTAGATTTTTTTATGGGTTAATACTTAGTTTATTAAGAATGTCTGGTCTTAATTGTTGCTTTGTATTTTTTTTAAAGTATGTATTTCTTGATGTCATAGAACATACCATGATTTATGCTCAAACCAAATTTGTCCTTTTGTGATCCAAACTTCTAATTGCTCTCCTCCAAATACTTCGTACTCCACATGCATTAAGCAATTACCATTTAGCATGTCATTTATGATCTCTTATTTACTTTCATCTTCTCCTCTTCAACAACAGCATGTCCTTGAGCATGGTAAACCTCACGAGCGTTCTACAATTATCAAGGAATTAGCAGGCAATATAGTTCAAATGAGCCAGCAGAAGTTTGCTTCTAATGTTGTGGAGAAGTGTTTGACCTTTGGAGGTCCTTCTGAACGCCTATTGCTTGTAAATGAGATGCTTGGCTCAACAGATGAAAATGAGCCTCTGCAGGTATTTTTACATCCCTTAAAGACTACGACGTTCTGCCGATAGAATCATATTTTATGATGATGGAATAGGGCTGTTTAGCTCACGGAGTTGAAAGATTTAAAGTCTATTCAATGTTTTGGCATAATGACATGTTTTCACTTTTATCAAACTTTCTGTATGGTTTGACAAAATTGATTGTAATTTGTCATATGTTGCAAATGATAAATCAACCTCTCTTGCATGCAGGCAATGATGAAAGATCAGTTTGCTAATTATGTTGTACAGAAGGTGCTGGAGACTTGTGATGACCAACAGCGTGAGCTAATTCTTTCACGAATCAAAGTTCATTTGAATGCACTGAAAAAGTACACTTATGGAAAGCATATTGTAGCCCGTGTAGAGAAGCTTGTTGCTGCTGGAGGTACTTATTTATTCCTTAATTTTTTTCTCTGTACAACTCTTCTAATTGTATGAGAAGGTACTAATTAGATGCAACTTGTAATTTGTTGCAGAGAGGAGAATTGCTGCACAATCTCCTCATACTACTGCTTAGGAGTGAGAGTAGAAAAAGAGTGTTGTCTGTACAGCTAACTGAGGCTAGTGTGATCTCCTCCTGCATGCAAGAGTTATTTATGTTTATCTATCTATCTATTTATCTGTCAGTGATGGATAGTTGTGGCCGATTGGTAATAAAATTATCGGTTTGTAATTGAGAACTGTACATTGTGTAGTTTATACATAGAATATTTAAGTGAGGTGAGGTTCAGATGTGTAATACTTACGTACTACAACTCTGATGCCCCTGCAGTGGAAGATAAATGACAATACAAGGCAAGGTGGATGTAAAGTTTTCATAAAACGGTGCGGTAGTTTATAAGTTGACGAGACTGTACAAAATGTTGCTATGTGAAGAGCTGTTTATGTTTATCATTATTAGATTCTTTCACTTTATTCCCCAATTTTACAAG